TATTGACCTCTAACTGAAATTTAGATTTCCTTCAATTATTTCACGATTCTAAGGAGGGCTCCATAGGCTTCATCAGACTGCCAAAGGGATCTATGAAACAAAAAAGTGAAGAATTTCTGCTTTGTAGCCTCCCCTGAAAGAGGCTGGTCTAGCCTCTGCTTGGATACCTTTTGTGGCACTCATTATATCCCAAGGCAATCTATTCCAAGTTGTTTATTACACTGAGTAGAAATCTGCCTCCTTTTTCCTCTTGGTCGTAGTTCTATCTTTTGGGGACACAAAGAACAAATTTCATCTGTTAGGGTTGAGAACCTGGGGAAATGAGCCAGTTCAGACCATAGACAGAGTCGGAGGCTAACTATGGTGGTGTAATGTAAGTGAAGCTAGTAGGACCTCCTTCCTAGCATGGAACTCTTTGCAGAATATGTACTCGATATGTGAATAGGGTGTTAAGGAGGACTAGCACCTCTGGTGTGAGGGCTTGCTAAACCCTTTTCAGGGCTGCTCATCCACTTTTGATGCCCACCTTTACTCACCTTTCACCTGTGGCTCCAAGAAGCTGTAAAATACACAGTGGCCACACCCAGAGTAAACCTTCTTGGCAGATGGACTAAACCAGGTTGAGGGGAGACAACAGGCCTCAGACCCTTCAGTGAGTTAGGGGAGTGTCTACTTCAAGCATGTGAAGACTTCCCCCGGAGGAATGGGTGGATGAGAACAATTTGTTCCGATGGCCACAGAGGCAGCGGAAGAAAGGGCTGTGGAGTGCTTAGAGCTTGGTTAGACATCAAAGATCCCACTACATCCTGGGCAATTGCCAGCTGTCTTTACTTTTGTCCTGCCATTGGACTTTGATGACTAAGGAAGAGAAAGCAAGGCTGATGATTTTATGCAATTCATTGCCATAAATTCAATTCATGTCCAAGTCAAGACATCACCTTTGATGTCATTGGTTCTCTTTGAAAGTGAAGGAGGAATAACTCAATGTGAATTGATTTTGCCCCAAAGTATTCCGCACTACCACCCCAGCCTATCACAGAGCCTGTCAATTACATAATGGATTAACCTCAGGGCCAAAATTTGAAAGTAGGTTTTCTGACTCCAAGCCCAATGCTCCTATGGTCCCTCCTGCACTGATGTCTTGTGAATCTGTGAGGCTATGATATTTACATAAACAGCTAAAAGCAAGGCAGAGTGGGCTAAACGTTAGGAGAGGGAGGTATGAGGATTTTAGAGGAGGGGTGAGCCATTTCTGGAATATAAATCTGTATTTAAGGTGCCAACACAGAAAACAGTGATATGAAATACTACCCAAAAAGCAGCTATGTGGCCCTGTGGATAGAGTGCTGAGTCTGAAGTCAGGAGCTCCCATCTTCCTGAGCTCAAATCTGGCCTCAAACACTTACTAGCTGTGTGACCCTGGGCAAGTCACTTAACCAACCCTGTCTACCTCAGTTTCCTCAACTGTAAAATGAGCTAGAGAAGGAAATGGAAAACTACTCTAGTATCTTTGTCAAGAAAAACTGCAAATGGGGTCATGAAGAGTCAGGACAACTGAAAAACAGCTCGACAGCAACACTCAATAGCACATAAGAGAGAGCCACAATCTTATATGAGGTCCAATGGGAGAAGGACATTATGAAAAGAGGCTTCCCAGAAGTCTTCAAGGTGGAGGTGACATGTTTGTGACTTTAAAAGGATGGGTGAGAATTCACTAGGTTAAGGTGGGGATGTCGTTCCAGGTGCAGGAAATAACACAAGCAAAGGCATGAAGAAGAGAGAGTAAACGGCATGTTAGGGACAGGGAAAAATACAGTTCAATGGGACGATAGTTTGTGAAGGTGAGTAATGTGAGATAAAGTTAGAAAAGATCATGGTGGGGTTCAGATCTGACCTCAGGCACATAACAAAATCTAACACTGTGACTGACTCTGGGCAAGGCACTTAACCTGATTGCCTCACCAAAAAACAAATTGAAAAAAGGACCACGGGATAACAGAACTATGGCTAGAAGAGCCTTTGAAGTAAGCAAAGTAACTCAGTGGATAGTGCTAGGCTTGGAATCAGGAAGATATGAGTTTGAATGTAGCCTCAGACAATGACTAGCTGTATGATCCTGGGTAAGTCACTTAACTTCTGTTTGCCTTGGTTTTTTCAACTGTAAAATGGGGATAATAATAGCACCCACCTCGAAGGATTGTTGTGAGGATCAAATGAGATAATATTTGTTAAGTGTTTAGCACAGTGCCCGGCACATGGCAGTTGCTATACAAATGCTGCCATTACTAGTACTACTAGCACTAGTTGTTTTTTTTTTTAAAGGTGAGGAAATCGAAGCCCAGAGAAATCAAATAACTTGTCCAAAGTCATGCAGGTCTTGTGGTAGAGCTAGGACTGCAACTCAGGCTCCGTGACCAGGTGCATTTGTGGTGCCAGATGGTCTAGTGCATTGAATATTGTGATTAGGAGTTTGAACTTTACTTAGTAAGAAATAGGAAGTCACTGAATATTTTTGAGCAGAATAGTGATGTAACTAAATTAATGAATAAGAAAGATTTCTAAGCTTTGCCTTTGGTAGCTAGTTCTCTATCAATGGGAGTGTCCAAGGAGAGGTTTGATGATGCACCCTTGCTAGAGATGCTGCAGGTGGGACAGAAAGGTTCTCGGCATTAGCTAGAAGCATACTTTACAGGGTCAGGGATACGGATATTACTTGCCGTATGTTTAGGCTCAGAGTGATCTATGGTGGAGGCTGAAATTTCCCCTGCTTTGGAATGAGGAAAGGCAGTGTCCAGGAGATCTGGACCTGGAACTTTGTTAAGCCAGACTTGGAAACCAGGGACACTTGGCTGAGCTGAAGGCTCAGAGATGGAAAGTGGTATCTAAATCAGAAGGGCCAGTATCAAGTTCAAAAGCAGAGGCTGAGGAGATTGAATGAAGAGCCATGAGACTGCAAGATTTAGAAGTAGAATGGACCCTGGAGGTCCCTTAGCCAAAGCCCTTTCATTTTGTAGATGGGGAACATGGGGACCAGAGAAGGGAAAATGACTTGTTGAAGATCACACACGTAGTAAGCTTCAGAGATGGAATTTGAACCCAAGCCTTCTGTCTCTAAAGCCAGCTTCTCTCTAATACACCACACCACCTCCAGTGCCACATCATAGGGTTCGGTCCTGAGATTAAACAGCAGTTGGAGTTTCCCAAAGAGTTTCTGAAACTAACATTGAGTTATCAAAGGGCACCACCACGTTTTAATGTTTGTGTGGCAAATCTGCCTCCCAAGCCCCTCCAATCTGATGTAGCTGGACAGCTGTCATCTGGAAGCCCCACCAGAGATTACTCACCATGGATAAGATCATCGCTCTTTAATTAGCAGTGAATACAAGGTTGGGTTACATCAGTGGTGTCAAACTCATATCAAAATGGGAATACTAAACTGTATACAATAATTCCTGTGGGTTGCATACTGACTTAATTTTCAAATGTAATGTTATCTGTGTTTTGTTGCATTTTTATTCATTTTATTAAATGTTTCACATTTCTATTTTAATCTTGTTTAGGAGCGTTAGGGAGTGTTGCTAGTCAGGCATTCCACAGGCTGAACGTTTGACACCTCTGGGCTACATGACCTTTAAAGTCTCTCTGATTCTTTTTTTTTTTTTTTGCTAGGCAATGGGGTTAAGCGACAGCTAGTTAAGTGTCAAGTGTCTGAGGCCAGATTTGAACTTAGGTCCTCCTGACTCCAGGGCTGATGCTCTATCCACTGTGCCACTTAGCTGCCCTTCTCAGATTCATTTTAAATCACCAGATGCATGAAATACCAAGTATGTGCTATGTACTATGCTTGTTGCTGGGGCTATAGAGATGAAAAATAATACTGTATCTGACCTCAAGAAGTTAATTAAAGGGTCAAGACATGCACACAAATCACAAATGAGACAAAGGAAAGTTGGATAAGTCAAACTCACCTTGGGGATGGGGGTCAGAGTGGGGGCTGAGGAATTCAGACAAAATGCCCTGAGATTCCTAGTGTCTTTTGATCACCTAGTTCAGAATCTCACAGTATTCTAAAATTCAGCCACCCAGTAAGTCAACTGGCATTTAGTAACTGCCTACTACGTGCCAGGAATGGCACTACGTGTGTGTGCACACATATACACACGTCCCTGCTCTTAAGGAGGTCACAATCTCCATTTCTTTAAATCTAAGTTTCTCCCATGCCAAGTTCAGCTAATTTTCTCTCCCCTTCTCCTTCCTCGGGGATGGAGACATACTCTTTCAGACACCCCTGCACAGATCTCAGACAGCTTGGGGAAGAGCCTGATGCTAATTTACTCAGGGTCATTGGGTTCGGAGAGAGAAGGAACCCTTTCATTCTACAGAGGAGGAAACTGGGACATAGTAAGATAAAGGGACAAGCCCGGTCTTCCATAGGTAGGAGGATACAATTCAAACCAGGGCACAAGATTATAGAAGCATAGACTGGCAGCTGCAGGGGTGCCATCTTGTCCAACTCTATCAATTTACAGATGAGAAAACTAAGGTCCAGGGAAATTAGGTGACTTGCTTAGTGACCGTTGTAATAAATCACGGTCATATGACAGCACATTTAGACATGTAGTCTCTAAACTCTTCATTTTCCAAAGAGAAACTTCAAGGCTCCAGGGATGTGTGGAAGGACTTGTCCAAGCTTACATAGGTACCAAGAAACAGAGCTGGAACTTGGACCCAGGCCTTTTGATGTCTAATATGGCATCCTTCTATACTCTTTCTTTCTTTCTTTCTTTCTTTCTTTCTTTCTTTCTTTCTTTCTTTCTTTCTTTCTTTCTTTCTTTCTTTCTTTCTTTCTTTCTTTCCTCTCTCTCTCTCTCTCTTTCTTTCCTTCTCTCTCATTCTATTTCTCCATCTGTCTCTCTCTTTTTTCTTATACATCCTATAAAATGAGAACTCCTTACAAGATCCTTCGCCCTTCATGCCAGTGTGCCACGGTTCTGACCTACCTGTGACTTCGGATGAGAGGTCCCAGGAACATCTCCCTGCTGGGCTGAAGGACCCGCCAGCTTCTCTCAGTGACTGCAGCGTCAGCAAAGCAATCGCCTGTTGAGCCCGGCCAAGCCCCTGCCCGGACTGCTGCTGTTGTGGCTGTGGCGATCAGACCAGGTCATCAGAACCAGATCCCCCAAGGCCACATAGGGAACCGGATCTCAAGAGGGAGCATCTGGCTATGCTGGCCAAATTCAAAACCAACTCTAAAGTTTCCATCCAGGAGGCAAAAAGGAAACCATGACTGCTAGAAAATAAGATAGAAAGAGTCATTAGAAACACAGGGCTGCTCACTTGCTGTGGCATCCTCTGGGAATCCTGCCAGCTTGAGGGGCAGCCTGGGAGCAACACCCCCTGGAAGGAGGCCAGAAGCCCTGTTAGAAGCTCAGCAAGGGGCTGTTTACTCAGTGACTCCAGGAAGATACAAGCTTTAGTCTGAAGTCTACCCTATAGAGATATGTTTTATTACTGGATCAAATATAAAAGCATGTAAAGTAATAAAAGGGACCATTTTATCTACTTTGTTCTTCTCTGTGTACATATTGTTTCCTTGGACAGCATGTTAGTTCCTTGAGAGCAAAGACTTTTGTTTCTACATCTCTAGCACCTAGCACAGTGCCTAGTACACAGTAGCTGCTTAATAAATGCTTGCTGCTTTATTAATTTGTCCCAACCCATGACATGGCAGTGTTGCATTTATGTGAGTATTACTGTGAGTAAATATAATGCTGGACTTAAGATGTTAGGCAGACCTGAGTTCAAATCCTGTTTCAGATTATTACCATTGTGTAACCCTGGGTAAATCATTCAACCTCTGTGAACCTCAGTTTCCTCATCTATAAAATCAATGGGGATAGTGCCCATATTTCAATGACTTGTTGTGAGAACCAAATAAAATTACATATATAAAGGGCTTTGCAAAATTTAAAGCAATATATGAAGCTGTTATTATGAAAATTATATTATGAAAATATATTATGAAAATAAGAGCAACAATAATGTCAACTGTCATTTCCCTGGTGCTTTTAGGTTTACATAAAATGCTTTTCTCATGAAATCCAGGGAAGTGGGTGGCCTCAGGACTCTTATCCCCATTTCATGGTGTTCATGAAGCTGGGAAGCCTCAGAGACGAGATCTGATTTGAGGGAGGATGAATGGCCTCCCTGCTGTTGATGTTCAGTCATTTCAGTCACGTCTGACCCTTTGTGACCCTATTTGGGGTTTCCTCGGCTGAGATACTGGAGTGGTTGAGCAAGAACACTTAGACTTTGCTTGACCTTGGAGGGCTAGTGATGATGGCGGAGGTAGAGAGAGATGCAGAGGTAGACTTTGGTTTGACAAAGGGAAAACCTTCTAACGTATGGAGTTGCTCCAAGTGGAGTAGACTTAGGAGTATGGAGGCTCTACATTTCATGAGCTCTTTATTTACTTTTTTAGGCAATTGGGGTTAAGTGACTTGCCCAGGGTCACACAGCTAGTAAGTGTCAAGTGTTTGGTCTGAGGCTGGATTTGAACGCAGGTCTTCCTGACTTTGGGGCTGGTGCTCTATCCACTGCGCCACCTAGCTGCCCCCCATGAGCTCTTTAGGAGGATGGTTGAGGGACTCCTGATCAGGAAGGGGTTGGCTGAGGTTCAGTGCCTTCTTGAGTTCCCTTTCAGTTCTTAAAATTTATGATCCCGTGTCTCCCAGTCTACTGCCCTTACCACACCATACTGTTACTTCTTTTAAAAAGACAAAAAGCCAGGTGAGGCCTCAGTTTGCTTCCTATTCTGTGTAAAACAAAGCAACATAATGAATTGTGTGCTGCAAATTGTCTTTGGGTGGAAGGGCCAAAGCCAGTTGAAACACTGCTTTCCTGAAATGGATGCTAATGATGGAGAGAGCATGGCCAGATGGACTCAATGGCGGTAAGGAATGAGCTGCGAATCCTTTCTCCAGTCTGGACCTCAGTTTTCTCCTCAGTAAAATGAGGAAGTTGGGTGGGCTATCTGGGCTCTCAGGACCCTGTCTGTTATGACAATGAGAAGCACTGTGGTGTTGTGGATAATATACTAACTCTGGAGGCAGGAGACTCCTCAGTGGTGGGCTGATAAATGTTTAACAATCAGCTCTCTGGAAATGAAAGTCCACAAGACACTCTGAAGCTTAATCTGCATCATTACTATTGTCTCCATTACTTTCTTAAGCTTACATGATCAGCTAAACAATAATCCAAGTCCTGATTTGTAGTGTTTGCTGATTTCTAATGTTTACACTAATTTTTAATGATAGGATCAAGAGCAGGTTTCGTCACAACCTTGCCTGTGTTCAGAAGTCCCTGTTCCCAGACACTTACTAGCTGTCTAACTTGGTATCAAGTCAGTAAACTTCTGTTTCCTTATCTGGAAAATGGAGATAATATACCTACTTTACAAGGTCACTGATGGGTTCAAATGAGATGACATATATTAAGTGCTTTGGAGATTATAAAGGTACTGTATAAATAACAGTTATGATTATTTTGTTCTATGGTCTTTTTTAGGGCAGTGATAGTCCTGAAGTCAGGAAGACTCATCTTCTTGAGTTCAAATCTGGCCTCAGACATTTATTAGCTATGTGACCTTGGGCAAGTCACTTAACCTTGTTTGCCTTGTTTCCTTATTTGTAAAATGAGTTAGAGAAGGAATGGCAAAAGACACACTCAGAGTGTCTTTTCCAAGAAAATCCCAAACAGGGTCAGAGAGAAACGACTGAACCACAGTCTTAGTCTTGACATTCTATGCTCTATGTTCGAAGGGGCACTTCTAACTCTGACATTCTATAGTCTTGTCATTCACCTGAAAAGCGATGGAATCAGGAAATAAGAATAGCATGAGAAATGTTTCAGACTTGCTGAGGCCCAAGCAGACTTTAACATACAGTGTGGTATTGGGGATTGTTAACCAAATATATGTATATATATATACATATATATATATATATATATATATATACATATATATATACATATATACACATATATATGTATATACACACACACATATATACATACATATACACACACATATATATACACATATACATATGTATATGTGTGTATATATAGAGAGATGTATACATACATATACATATATATGGTTATATGTATGTGTGTGTGTGTGTATATATATATATATGCATATATATATCACAAGTCCATGAGACAGGCGATTAACGAATGTAAAGACAACAATAATAATTCCTCAAGTGCGTATGGGGAGACACAAAACATCACCACATGTATTACCTCCATGGACCCTTGCAGCAACTCTGAGAGGGAAACAGGACATGGATTATCATTCCCAGTTTAGAGGGAGAAACTAAAGCCCAGACAAAGGGATGCTCCCAAGGTCATGTGGCTGGCAGGTGGGTTAGATGATATTAGAATCCAGATCTACTAATCCCCAAATACAGTGCCGGCCAAAACATACTGGCTTGGGCCATCTGGATGTTTTTGCCAATAATAATTGTAGTTATGATTATGATCATAGCTGAAATTTCTGTAGCACTTTACAAACATTACCTTATTTTGCCTTGACAATGACCCTAGGTGGTAGGTAAGGCAAATATTATTATCTCCATTTTACAGATGAGGAAACTGAGGTTCAGAGAAATGACGTGATTTGTCCATGGTTGCAAGTAAGTACCAGGAACTCTGGTCTTCTGACTCTAAGTCCTGTGCTCTTTCCACCACACTAGCTACCTCTGCCAGAGTGTGTGTGCATTTGCTTTTAAGGATAAAGATCTGTAAAATGAGGGGACTGGACTAGATGCCCGGTAAGATCCTTTCCAGTTCTAAGTGAATAATCATAAGAACATTGTTGTGACTAATCAGCTAATTTACATGTTAAAAGACACTGCAGAATTGCATGTCAATAGTTCACATAAACAGCAGAGTGAGGAAAAAAGTAGTTTACTACTGAATATTTCAGAATTTCCTCAACCTCCCAGCTCCTTTTCTTCTTCTTCTTCTTCTTCTTCTTTCTTCTTCTTCTTCTTCTTCTGGAAACTGCTTTTGTCCTTTTCTTTCATCCTCTGCCTTCATCTCCTTTTATCCTTTCTCTTTGCCTTTCATCTTTTGCCTTTCTCTCTTCTCCCTATTCCTAATCCAAAAATGTGATTGATTTCAACAAAGACTTCATGCTATGAAATGATTATGGCTTCAATAGGGTGGCACAGTGGATAGAGCTAGGGCCTGGAGACAGGAAGAACTGAGTTCAAATATGGCCTCAGACACTTACTGGCTGTGGGACTCCGGGCAAGTTACTTAACCCTGTTTGCTTCACTTTCCTCATCTGTAAAATGAGCTGGAGAAGGAATGGCAAACCACTCTAGTATCTTTGCCAAGAAAATCTCAAATGGGGTCACAGAGAGTCACACATGATTGAACAGCAATAAAATGTGTTAAATTATTGACTAAAGTCTTAACACTCTCTGTCCTTAACCTAAAACCAGCGAATTTAACCTTTTCTATCTCAGTTTTTTTAATAACACTAAAAAAAGGTAATCTTATTCCCTCATTTTTATAGATGGGAAAATTGAGGGTCACAGAAGTTAAATGCCATGACTTGGGTCACATAGGCATCAGAACCAGAGTTTGAACCAAAGCCTTCTAACATTACATCATTTGTGTTCCAAGTTACTATTATCCTGCCCCATTGAGGTTCGTCTAAAATATGAATCTTTGCTCCCCCATAAGAGGTAGGTCGTTCAAGAGAAGTTTGCTCCAGAATATCGATTAGCTAGGAAAGACAGGTCTAGTTTCTATTTCACTAAATGAGTCATTAAGTTTCAGCCTAGTTTTCCAGACCATCCAATAGCCCCAGGGGCCTGCTTTGGCAGCCATCGCCCTCTCACAAAATGAAATGGATGTCTAAAAATACAGACTTTAATTATCAGCTGATTTTGAATAGAGAAAACTTCTTGATGAGTTTAATCTTTGACTCCCCTCAGGGAGTCTAGAGTAAGAGTAATTATCTTATTAGGTGTAGGAATTGGAAACTCCAGTGAACAGGAGAGAGAAGCCAGAAGGAAACTCAAGTGTCAATTTCTGCTTTTGACTTCTGTCTGTTATCAGCTGAAAGATGATTCATGGGGACCATTCAAAAGCATTGAAGCATTACAGTCACAGGGAAAATGATTCCTCACACCTTCATGGCAAACTTCAAGCCAAACCTTGTCTAAGCTGGAAGTCTAGCCCCTTAGAATTGAAGGAAGGAGGAAATGGGGCTCATGGGTCCTGCTGCAGTCCTAATTTATGGTGTGACACTAAGCAAATCACTTCACTCCCTCTCTTATATCCCTTCCAGCTTTGACAAATAGGCAAGGCAGGTCTGAGACTTAAAAGGATAAGGAAGGAAAGAAGGAAGCAGAGCAGCTCTATGTTGAGGTTAAATGCCTGATTTAAATTAAGTAAAGGAAAGATAACAGAAAAGTAGGAATTTAGGCTTTCCAGGAATTGCAAAGTTAGAAGAGGCTTCAAAGGACGTCTAGCCCGACCTCTACCTGACCAGGAAGCCTGTCTATACCATTCTTGACAAATATTTGTATTTATCCTTCACTTAAAGACATCAAGGGATAGAAGGATTCCTCTTCCACTTTCAAACAGGCTCGTCAGGAAGTTTTTCCTTGGGTTGTACTTCTCTGTAATTGTTTTCCTTTCTCTCTCTCTCTCTCTCTCTCTCTCTCTCTCTCTCTCTCTCTCTCTCTCTCTCTCTCTCTCTCTCTCTCTCTCTCTCTCTTTCTCTCTTCCCCCCCCCCTCAGTCCCCTTGACTCCCTCCGCTTCCCTCCTTTCCCTTCTAGGGCCACACAGAAAAAGAGAACTCCCAGCACAAGGCTTCCCCTACTTGTACAGAGGATTATGTCTTGTCTTTGGGCTTTCATTTTTCTCTTTTATAAAACAAGACGGCTGGACCACTCGATCCCTAAGGGTTTTTCCAGGCTTGCCACTTTTGCTCAACTTTCCCAGTGCATTCTCTTTTGAGCCTTATTATTCCCATTTTACAAATGAGGAAACCCAAGACCGTTCCCCCTCCCCAAAACTGGCCACGGTCACATTGCGAGGCCGAGTTGAAGTTAGGATTCAGTTATCCTGACTCATCTTTCCACAACCTTCGTTTGGTTAATTTAACCTGAGGATAAGAGGTGTCTCAGTTTTTCCATCTATAAAATAAGAGGGTTGGATGAGAATCCCTAGGTCCCTCCCGGCTCTAAATCCTATGATCGCTAAGATCGCTTTCAGCTCTAAACCCTGCAAAATGGATGGTTTGTAAACTGTGCCTTGTTTTTTCTAAAATCCAAAGGAAGCCATAGACTGAGCCCGCCCTGTTCTTTTTGAGGTCTTACCTGAGTCTCTCCAGCTGCAGCTGCAGCTGCAGCACGAAGAAAAGGAAAGTCAGCGTGGGGGATGGGATGGCGAGAAGGTGGAGGGAGGGGATGGCTGCTTAGCCTCAGGCTTTCCGAGAGCGGGGCACAGCGGCTTAGGAGGGAGCGGTGAAACTCGGGATACAGCGGCCCCCTTCTTTGCCGCTGGGGTCCCGAGATCCTCCCTGGGTCCGGCTATCCCAGGCCAAGGCCTGTCTCCTCCCTGGCGGATCCTGTAGTCTATTTTTGGGGGGGAGGGGGAGGGGGAAAAGAGGGGGTTCAACTCTCCCGAGCAGGGGACCAGCCCTCCACTTTTCTCCTCCCCCTCTGCCGCCCCCTCCTCTCTTGCTCAGCCAGGTTCGGGGGAAACAGCCCGGTGGTGGAGGAACCTCCGAGCTGGAGCCCTGTTTGGTAGTATTCTGCAAACACGACCCATCCCTCCTCCCTGTCCCTGCCCTCTCTCCCCTCTCCGCCTCTCCTCCTCCTTCCACCCCCCTCTCCGCCCCCGGTCCATTCCAAATCTCTTTCGAGAAGGTTCCCGGGATTGGAATTTCGGAGCTGGGAGGGAGAGGGAGAGGAAGGGCGGGAGAGATGACTGTTAGGGAATTAGGGAGGGAAGGAGGGAAGACAGGGAAGACTGAGGGAGCTGGGAGAGGGAAAGATTGGGAGGAGGAAGGGAGGGGCAGCGGGTAGGGATGGGTGAGAAAGAGGATGAAGGTAGGAGGAGGGGGAAAGGGCCTGTTTCATTTGTCTGCTTTGCTATGGGGTGTCTGCATGCAAACAGCAGCAGACTGCCCCCAGAAGATGAGTAGGGCGGGGGTGGGGGGGGACATCTCCCAGGTTCACCCAGTGGCCTTGGTGTTTCTTAGAAGCCTTCAGGGACCATCTCCTAGAGAATCAATATTGTACCAGCCAACTTTAGACTCCTCCCCTTAGTTCCCTCAGCTTATGAGGGTAAAACTATTAACCAGAAATTAGCTCATCAGACCCAGAAACACTAGAGCCAGAAGGATCCTAGAGACTATCTAATCCAACCCCCCTAATTATACCAAAAAAGGAACCGAGGACCAGAAAGGGGAAAGGTCCCCTTTGGGTGACCCCTTGAATCCATCCGTGGCAGTTCTGGGACAGGCATAACAGGTCCTAAGGCTCCACTGGCAGCCTGAACACTTCTAATGTTGGGAAATTTTCTACCCCTGGAACAGCCTATTTGATTTTAGGCAGCTAATTTTAACGAAATTTCCCTTGTATCCAGCCTAAATCTTCTCTGAAACTTCCATCCCCAGATCTTACTTTTGCCCTATGGGGGCAAACAGAACAGGTCTAATCCATGAAAACCCCTCAAACAGTTGACAGATATTATATACCCTGATCAAATTTAGCTCAAAAATCTCATGCCAAGAACCCAGACATTCTGTCTCTCAGTTCTGGACTCTTTCCACTGCTCCAGATATCTTGACTTGTCCCATTCTGTTTTTTTTTAAACACATTTAACTTTAGTTTCTCCCTCTCCCCTTTAGCCCTCCCCCCCACCCCCAATCCCAGTGCTTAGCACATAGTAGGTGCTGCTTGAAAACCTGGTGATTGACTTACTTTTTCTCTTCAGAGAAATGTTAAAGAAAGAAAACTACTGGGGCCACTGATTAGAAATATACACCACAGGAAAGACAAAATAATATTGTGGGAGGAGCCCTGGACTTGTAGAAGACCTGGGTTTTAATCTTTTTGCTGTCAATGTTAATTTGAGCAAGTCACTTTTGTCTGGGACTCAATTTCCTCATCTGTAAAATGGGGTAATAATGCATATGCATTATTCTCTGGGTAGTTGTGAGGGAAGCTAAATGGGACATATTACTGTTATAGTCACAAGAGTTCCCTTAGCACCTTGTGGCGGAGTGTCACAAAATACTCACTATGGAAGAGGTCAAGCCTAGATTGGACACTGGCTATGACCTGGCCTTACCAGCCTTCCATTCGCTAATCCACTGTGTTCTAAAAGTCTCTTTCACAATGAAGCAACAACAGAATCACAGAATGTCAGAGGGGCCTTTGAGATTATCCCTTACAGTTCTCTACTTTTACAGAATGGGTAACTGAGGTCCAGGAATGGGGAAAGGACTAGATTGGCAGAAGCTATGGAAGGAAGTTAAACAGAGGCTGATTTTGATTCTATGTAAGGAAAAACTTCCTCACAATGAAGGTTGTCCTAAAGTGGAATAGTCTCCTTGGGTGGGGGTGAGCTCCCTATCCTCGGAGGCTGAGTGACTACTCAGGGGTGTTAAAGAGGGGATCCCTGCTCACATATAGGTTGGACTTTGAGGTGCTTTGCAGCTCAGAAATTCTGTGACTTGCTCAAGGTAATCTAGAAAGTGTCTGAGAGTCTTCTGACTGTGAGTGCAGGATTCTTCCATCTGTCTTACAGCTTCTTCTCACTGTGACTTGCCCAGGGTCACACAGCTAATAAGTGTTAAGTGTCTGAGGTCAAATTTGAACTCAGGTCCTCCTGGATCCAGGGTTGGTACTCTATCCACTGCACCACCTAGCCGCTCACTCTACTCTATGCAAAGCCTTAGACTTGCAGTGAGGAGTGCTAGGCTTTTGTCCTTGTTTTGCCACAACTCAATTTGTGAACTTCGGAAAGCCCCTCCCATTCTTTGAGCCTCAGTTTCCCCATCCATAAAACGAGGGAGTTTGTTTCAAAGGTCTTTCTCAGCTCTAATGTATTAGCACAGTATTTCCACTTTTCTTTAAACTGTATTAGTGCAAGATGAGTAGGGGGGCCTGGTGGGGTAGGGTGACCCAAATGAAAGCTGGCATGAGACATTTGGACAGTGAGTAACCTTATCAATGAATGTCTATGGAGCACACAGTAACCCAATAAGAAGACCTAGAAAAGTCAAACCCAAATGGGAAGTGTCTAATAATGCCCAACTAATGGCTTTCAGACAAGATTCCCCAGGTGGCTAATCTCATTCTTGGTGGTACAGCCATTAGTCACAAGGCCCTGAATGAACAGTCATGGAATCATAGGAGCACCATATTAGAAGGGATCTTGGGAACCAACTGGTCTAACCCATCCCTAAACAGGAATCCCTTCTATAATATCTCTAATAAGCAATCATCCAAAATTGAACTGAAGATTGAATTTCTCCAAGCTTAAGAATGAACCAGGAAGGAAAAGTGCAGGCTTCCACCTGGGTGAATTCATTCAAAGGTCCCTGACTCTAGTGTTTTGTGAAGCTGTTCTGTGAGAAATGCCAGAAGCCAGAGGCCAGGGATGCTAGAATGAAGGGAGTGGGGGAGGGGAGATGCCATTCACTGACAAATGGTGTTGTTTGAAAGAATATCTTTACTGACAAGGCTTTAATTTGTGGGATCATAGGATTTAGATTTGGGAGTCAACAATGAGGCCTTAGCATTGAACATAGCATGGCAGAGCTAGGAGGATCCTTAGAGTATAATACTATAAAGAATCCTAGGACTGGGCTGAACATTAGAACTGAAAAATTCAGAGCTGGAAGAAGTCTATAAACATATACTATTAGAGTTGAAAAGGCCCTTAGTGAACATGTAGTCTAGGAGTTGTTTTTTTTTTTTATTTTAAGGCAATAAGTGACTTGTCCAGGGTCACACAGCTAGTACATGTTTGAGATCTGATTTGAACTCAGGTCCTCCTAACCCCAGGACCAGTGCTCTATCCACTGTGCTACCTAGCTGCCCCTTGGTCTAGGTGTTCTTAACCCAGTGACCTTAAGCTTAATTTTTTTATAACTATTTTTATACAATTGGTTCCCTATGTAATCCTTAGCATTTTATTTCATGCATTTTAAAATTTTATTCTAAGAAAGGTTTGTAGGCTTCATCTGACTGCCATTAGGGTAAATAACACAAAAAAGGTTAAGAACTCCTGCTCCAGTCCAATGCTTTCATTTCACAAATAAGTTCATCTTCAGCTGCTGCAGACTTCAGTAGCCTAGGGTCCCTGACACGTGATAGTGAGACATCAGATGATGATTTTACTTCCTTCTTTGCTCCCCTCTTCCCCTCAGTATTTCAATTTGTACAATATGGTTAGATGAGATGATCTTGAAACTTCTCCGGCATTTTGTTCTTGTAATCTGAACTTCTAATCTTAGAACATTTGTGTGTTAGTATAAGGAATGAAACATTAATCCTAATTGGTGGAGAAAATACTGAGGCAACGTTGCCTACATGCATAAAGGATAGAATTGGTTTCAGAGTTTCTTGGGAGAGGAAAAAGGGTGGTTCTGAAGAACTTTCAAGAGAGACACACACAGAGAGGTGGTGAAGTGTATCCACTGAGTATTCAGCCTGGAGTCAGGAAGAACTGAGTTCAAATCTGGCTCAGACTTTGTCACCCTGGACAAGTTACTTAAATTCTATCTGCCTCAGTTTTCTAGACTGTAAAATGGGGATAATAATAGCACCTACCAGCTAAAGCTGTGTGGATTAAATGGAATAAATTTGTTGAGTAATTAGCACAATGCCTAGCACATAGTACACATTTAATAAATCTTGTTTCCTTCTTTCCTTTCTTTGATTTCTGATAGAAATTTTCATCAATAGATTTTTTTTTCCTTCACCATCATCTCACATGATCACGGCAGGGCCTGGAGCTGTCCAAGGGAGTCAGACCCTCCAAGACTCTGTTCTCTGTGAATTTGCAAAAAAAACCCAATGAAACTTAAATAATGGCTCAATCACTGAAAGCTCACTGTGTGACTCTGGGAAAGTCTTTTCCCCCTCTTCCCCATAGAGTTTCAATCAGCACAATGATAAGATTAGGTTAGATGATCTCTTAAGTTTCTCTGGTAGTCTATATTCTTGTTACCTGGACTTCCAACTAAGCCTGGACATTTTGTGTGCTACTGGTATGTGAAATGAGTTGTGACTTCTAATTGGTAGAGAGACTTACTATATAAGGGGAAGAATTAGTTCCAGACCTTCTTGTGAGAGAAACAGGGGTTTCTATTTGGGAGAGATGTGTAGAGAGGAAAAGACTTTGGAAGCTACAGACATGTAGGGGAAACCGAGTCCTCAACAGTTCCCTGAATTTCAGCTTGCCTCCTTAAAGACTGCAGCCAGAGAATTTCTCCTTGTGTGAGTCCTCTCTCTTGGTCTGATGTGAGATCTTATTTTACTCTTCTCTCTTGCTTATTCATTAATGTATATTTTCTGATGTATTCTGATCTGCACAGCTTCTCTGATTTCTATTTGCTGTTTGCTTGGATAAATGGATTTTTTGCACCATTTGCTATTTGTGATGATATTTTATATAGCCTGTGTGGTGGGAGGGAGTCAAGTTGGCAGGTGTAAGCTTGTGGCTACTCTCCCCACTAAGAGCAACCCAGGAGGTGGCATTTGTTTTGACCTAGACTTGTACCTCTACACGAGTAATGTGTAGCCCTTCTCCTGTTCACCTCAAGGTAAAATCAAAGAATCCCTTGGTAAGAAGTCAGCCAGATTCCAGAGGTATTATCCATGTCATCTGTGCCCCACCTCTAACAACACGTCTTATTCAGGCACACACATGCCCTATGTTCTATTCAATTCAGCAACACACACCTCCCATTTGCAAAGTTCTGGGCTAGGTGCTAGGAATACAACCACAAAAATGAAACATTCCCAGCTCTCAAGGATCTGAGTGGGGATTATTGGGGAGAACATAATAACATGTACACAGATAAATAAACATAAGAAAATTTCTTTTCTTTCCTTTTTAGGCAATTGGGATTAAGTGACTTGCCCAGGATCACCCAGCTAGTAAGTGTCAAGTGTTTGGCCTAAGGCTGAATTTGAACTCAGGTCCTCCTGACTTCAGGGCCAGTGCTCTATCCACTACACCACCTAGCTGCCCCAGGAAATTTCAAACAGGGAGACCATACTAATAACTTGGGGAAGGGTCAACAAAGACCTTATTTGGGATCTGTGCTTTGAAAGAAGCTAGGGATTCTGAGAGGTGGAAGTAAATGGGAGAACATTCTAGATGTGGAGTCAACCTGTGTGAAGGGATGACAGAGAACAGAAATGCAATTCATGCACAGGGAACAGCTAAAAGAGAAGCACTTTATAGAGAATTTTAAATGCCTGGATAATGGTTTCATATTTTGTCCTAGAAGTAATAGGAAGTCACTGAAGATTTCTGAGTGAGAGAGTGACGTGATGAAATCTGTGTCTGAGGAATATCGATTTGTGTGGGATGGATAATAAGAGACTGGAAACAGGGAGACTGGTCAGGAGGTTATTGTTTGAGTCTAGGTGAGGAGTCTGAATAAAGATGGAAGGCCAGTGAGTAGAGAGGCGATGGTCAATGCAAGGGGTATTGTGGGAGTCAAATGGATAAGACTTCATACTTGACTAGATTTGGGGGATATGGGAGAGGAAGCAGTCAAGGATGACTCTAAGGAAGCAAACCTAGGTGACCAGAAGAATAATTGTTCCCTAAACAGAAATAAGAAAGTTTGGAAAGGGAATAAGTTTTTGGGAAAGTATGTGCAGTTATCCCTTCCATATTGTGACTTTCCCTGTTGAGGCTTTGATATATCTTGGGTTGACATAAGAAATTAAATGGGAATTTTTTGGGAGTTTTTAGAAGCTGCAGATGGTACGCAAGGGCCAGCAGATGACATGGAAAAATGTTCAGAAACTCAGAAATGCATAAAATATATGTGGAGTGTTGTGAAATATCAACATATTTGATCTCTTAATACCATAATAATTCAGACTTCCTCTTTGGTATGAAGGGAGGGTGGATTTTTACCTATCATGGGGTACCACACCCCTAACCCCCTCAATATGGAAGGGATGACTGTGCTACTTTGGACATACTGTGAGGTACCCATGGGATATCTGGGGAGAGATGTCCTGCAGAAGACTGACTTGTGACATAAGTCTAGAATTGAGGAGAGAAGTTAGAGGTGGTTATGTAGAGTGGGTAGTCATTGCCTCTCTACTTCTAAGATCCTTGGCAAATAAGGCATCCTATATTTGATGCTGCAGTGTCCCTTCCAGCTCTGACATTCTATGCCCCAAAGACCCCTCCGGCCTTGACACTCTATATTCCTAGGCACATACTGGATTGTGTGATTTCAGAGGTTTGTGATTCTTTCTAAGTGGAATAAACTCTGGGCTTGGAGTCAGGAGGTATGCATCGATTTGAAATCCAGTGCTGTCATGAACTTGATATGAGACCTTAGGTAAGTCCCTTCACTTCTTGAGATCTTGACTTACCCTTTTGCGGGAGGGGTAATGGACTGCCATTTGGTCACGAAATGATTTCAAAGGCCCTCAGGCTCTGTCATTCTATGATTCTCTGCCCTCCAGGAAGGAGAGGCTGCCCTTGTCAGTGAGAAGGGTGTGTGTGAGGGGGGATTCCTAGGGTAGGACTTTGGCTCCACAGCGCTATAATTATCTCTGCACCAGAGTGTTTGCATCCAAAATAACCCCCTAGCAAAGTGTCACATTCTAGACACCCTGCTAAGCACATGATTCTGTAAACAAACAAGAGAGCAGGGCGGGAGGCCAGGGGTGGTGACTGCCCAAGCCTGCCTCTCAAAAATGCTCTCTGGACCATCAGCCAGAGCCGTCTTGTTCCCCTCCGGGCACTTCAGACTTGTTCTAGATCGTAGATCACATTTCTCCATCCCACCCTCATCTTTTTCTCCCCCTGCCCAAACCCCAAGAGGTCACCAGGATGCCCTTGACTTGTCAAGCCCATATCAATCTCTTCCTTCTTTCAGGAGGTAGAAGTGCAGTCAAAAGAGCGGTGGACTTTGAATCAGAGGACATGGGTTCAAATCCCATCTCTGTTACTGATAAGCTCTGTGACCTCAGGAAAGTCCCATTCCTGCCACTCAGCCTCAGTTTTCTCATATATAAAATGGGGATAGTAATAGCACCTATTTCCCAGGGTTGCTGTGAGGATCAAATGAGATAACATATGGAAAACACTTCAAAAAACTTAAAACTCTCTATAATAAATGCTAGGTGGCAGTGGGGTGGTACAGTGGGTAGAACACTAGGCTTGGAATCATCTTCATGAGTTCAAATCTGGCCTCAGACACTTAACCGCTGTGTGACCTGGGTAAGTCACTTCACCCTGTTTGCCTCAGTTTCCTCATGTGTAAAATGAACTGGAGAAGGAAATGGCAAAGCACTCTAGTATCTTTGCCAAGAAAACTCAAAATGGGGTCACAAAGAGTCAGACATGACCGACAACAAAAATAAATGCTAACTTTATTATCATCATTATTACTAATTATTTCTTCATTAAACCTCATTTTCTGCCTCTGCAAAAGAGAGTTAATACTTGCACTACCTGCTGCAAAGGATTCTTGAGGGGAAAACTTTTTGTAAATCTTAAATCTGTATAAAAATGGGATTGTCCTGTGAATCTCTACTACATACAGCTTGCTTATAAAAATAACTCAGTAGTTCCTATCTATACATCCCTGTGTGTCTGTTCTCCCTTTTGAAAATCCTGCTTTTTTATGTATGTATATAATATATGTACACACACATATACATATGTACATATATACAACACAGACATATGTGTGTATACACACACACACACACACACACACACACATACATTTTTTTTTAGGGCGGCTAGGTGGTATAGTAGATAAAGTGCTGGTCCTGGAGTCAGGAAGACTCATCTTCCTGAGTTCAAATCTGACCTCGGACACTTCCTGGCACAGCAAGCTGTGTGACCCTGGGTAAGAACAGACACATACAACCAGGGGAAAGCCACTTCTCAGTGCTCCCTGGCAACCCCAGGACTTGCCAATCTGCAGCTGAGAAGGGAGTTTCCATACAAAGAATTTCTTACACTTTTGTTTATTTATTCTTGGAGGCAATTGGGTTAAACTCCAGTCCTTCTGACTCCAGGGCTGGCTCTTTATCCGCTGCACCACCTAGCTGCCCTGCCTATAGTTTTAAAATCACAGGTGTAGACAAAGGGAACATGATCCTAGCGTACTGGACTTGTTTTCAAAGATTTCCAGATTCTCAGAACTGCAAGTGTTTCCAAGGGCATCTAGTCTAGCCTATTGTTAAGCAGAATTCCTTCTCCATAAGCCTGATAAGTTGATCAGTCTCCATAGGGAATCTCCAGTGATGAGTAATTCTCAGTGTCCTGAGCCAACCGACTCCACTTCTGGACAGTTCTAATTGTTAAGAAGTTTTTCGTTACATCAAGTTGTGAAATTTCCTTTTCTGCTATTTCCCCTTACTGCTCTTAGGAGTTAATCCCCCTCCTACGTGACAATCCTTCAGTCACTTGAAGACAATGACCTTATCCTTCTTAAATCTGAGTAGAGTATTCATTGTGTGACTCTGGGCACCTTCTCTGGGAATTTTGTTCTGTCTTCACAAATTGAGGGTATAGGGCAAAATGAGCTCCATGATCTGTTCTGTTTCTAAATCCTAGGCTCCTGTGAAAAATAATTTTCTAAAAACAAAACAAACCAGAGTTAATGAAGCCTCAGTAGGATTCATGAAGGAATTAGTGTAACAGTCCAAAGTCAGGGACCCCAGACCAGAAGAGGCGGGGGAAAGCCTATTAAGAAAGGAGCGGCAGGCAGCAACACAAGGATCTAAGACATCTCCAAAGGTCCCATGATGGAAAATGCTGTCCACAAAGAAGAAGAAACTATGGAGTTTGAATGCAGATCGAAGCATCATACTGTTTGCTATTTTTTCTTCTCTTTTGTTTTGTTTCCTCTTTTTGGTGGTTCCAATTGGTTCTAATTCTTCCTTACAACATCACTAATGTGAAAATATGTTTAATAGGAATGTATATGTAGAGCCTATATCAGATTGAGCGCTGGCTTGGGGAGGGAGAGGGAGAAAAATTTAAAACTCAAAAGCTCATGGAAGTGATTGTTGATAAATCAAAATAAACTAATAAAAAAAGAAAAAAGAAGCAGGAACTGGTGAGATGAAAGTTTATCTTAAGCCACTTCCCTACAGGGGTGTGTTGATCAATGTTTAACCACTGGCCGCCAAGTATGCATGACACACTTAAATTTAACCTTTCCTCTGTTATTTTCTTAAGTATAGACAATCAATAAAACAATAAATTAAGCCTTAATTTATAGTATTTGCTGGTATCTGAGGTGTAAATGCTCACATTGAAAATTTAGGCTCTCTGATCGAGCTGATTTGAGCTGGCTTGAGCATACAATTTACTGATAGCCACCCTTTTCTTCCTCTTCCTCATTATTCTATTTATGTGTGTCTGTTGCCATAGAAAGATTCCTGTCTAGGCTAGGATTATTACCAGGTATGTGACATTGGGCAAGTCAGTTCATGCCTCTCATCCTCATAGGGGTATATAAAATTTGAAAGTATATGAAAAAAACAACAGTAACAACAAAAGAGTATAGGAAGTCTTTTGTAACAAAAAATGTCACTTACCATGATTACTGTTCTTAGAATTCTGAACCACATCTATCAATTGACAAGTATTAGTCAGTACTTACCTTGTGCCAGGCACTGGGCTGAATATCTGAAATATAGGGCAAAAATAAAACAATGTCTGCCCTCAAGGAAGCTTATATTGAATTGGGAGAGACAATATGTACCCTCAAGAACTTTAAAATGTTAGGTATATGGATACACACAAAATAAAAGGCAATATGTGGGGAGGAGGGTTGTAGCTCTCTTAGGGATATCAGGACAGGCTGTCTCCAAGATACAGCACATATGATTATATGTTTATTTTTTAGATGACCTGAGAAGCAATCAACTGCAACCCT